TGTAAGGAGAGTCCTCTTCCTGGTTGCACAGTGCTGACTCTTGGTGCCCTCACGTGGCAGAAAGAGAGTGAACTCCTCTCTGGCCTCTTCTTATAAGGACACTAATCCTACCCAAGGGGCTTCATCCCCATGACCAGATTACCGTCCAAAGTCCCCACCTCCAAATACCATCACACTGGGACTAGGCTTCAACATATGAATCTTGCGGGGACCAAACATTCCATCCAAAATGGCCGGATTCTTTGACTCTCCCCAATCTGAGCCTTGCAACTCATGCCGTAGCAAATAAGGCCTCAAGGTTTTCCAGGACACTCTAGCTACTGGCTGGGAACACAGCTTCACAGCAGTAGCTCAGTTTCCTCCGTTACTATAGAGAGATTTGTGTAATCATGAGCTTGATGGCGGAGAGGATGAGAGCTACTGAATGCCTGACACTGTCATGGGCATCTTTTGTGTATTACTTCTACTCCTCGGAACAAGGTAAATATTAGACTCACTGTTTCAAAGACATGGACACTGAAGTCTGCAGAACTTAAACTATTTTTGCAAAGCAACATAGCAATTAAGTGAGTGCAGACCCAGATCTTTCAGGCTCCCAAGTCATGCTCTTGACATGATGCCACACTGCTTCCCATTGCATATATTTAGGGGCAACTTTTTATCTTCTATTTTATAGATAAAAACTTGAGATTTGGAGGTGAAAATAAAAACAGTATCCAAGTACCAGGGCTATATGATGCCTTTAATTCTTCTACCTCATATGTTCTTCAAACTCACTCCCCTGTGGCATTTTTTTTTTTTTTTTTTTTGCCTCTTCCCAAAAAGCAAGCCCAGCTCATCTTTTCAGGAGATGACACTGTGTCAGAGAGTCCCCTGTGATGATGATGATTTATGGGAGAACCAGATGGGAACACTTGAAACTTATTCTAATTAGAAAGTCCTTCATTTCTATTTTCTTTGCTGCCTGCCACCCTGACCCCTACACACATGGTGTGTTTTGAGCCATTCTTTGTACTTTCGGTTGGGATGTGCCTACCCTGGCATCTGATCACACAGGCTGACTGCTTTTAAACTAAATGGAAAAAGTTTTTGAACAGACCAGAGCACCGGCCATGAGGGATTTAAATGCTGTCTTGTGTCATGCCCTGATGGTCATCCTCTTATTTATCGTTTCTAAAGCCTTTTCCACGAAGGAAGTGCTGGGCAGTTGGAGGTGGGGTGAGGGGGCAGGGGCGGGTCCTCACAGCCAGGCAGGGAGCAGGTTCCACTTCACAGAGGGGATGGGGAGGGGGAAGGGGAGGGGAAGGTCGGGGGTGGCTTGAGGTGTGAGGAGTGAGGTTTGAGGTGTTTGTGGTTGAGGCCCAAGCCAGAGCCAGAGACTGTACCTCCTTCACTTAATCTCTAATTGCTCCAGATTGTTCCTCAGCGAAGCCATCCTCGTAGTGTTGTGAGTTTACTGGAAGCAGCCTTCTAAAAAGCTTGATTAGTGGAGTGGGAATTATTGCTAAGTGCACATTTTATAAGTAATCAGAGAAAATGCCCTGTTTCTATGAAACTGGGTAATGGCTGTAATTTTATCTCCTGCCCCCGTGTACCACACCCTTTCCATCTGCTTTCCAATTTAGTCCTCAAGAGGCCATAAGGGTAAAGAAACCGAGGCCAGAGATAAAGCAACTTGCCCAAGACGACTAACAAGAGGCAAGGCCAGCACTGGAGCCTTTTAGTTGTAACCAAACAGGGGCTCTGACATGCTGCTCTCCATCCTAGTGCCTCTTAGCTCCATCCGGTCCTCTCTCCCAGCCCACCCCCACTGAATCCTTCCAGGGCTCACTCACCCCATTCAAACCATTTAACTAATGGCTGCCACACTGGTCTTCTAAGACCCCATGTCTGCCATGCTTATGACCTGTTTCCAGTGTCTCCAACGTAAAGATCAACTCCACAGCCAGTGGCTGGAATTTTCTCCCACTGTCCCTCTGTGTGATTCCCCTCAGATAGGATATGCTCCCGGGCCCACCATGCAAAGCCTCACTCAGACTCTTGTTGGAGCCCTTTCTCTTCTGTCTTCCCCATCCACACAAATGCTACTGCCTTCTGGATCTTATCTGGATTTTACCATGTCTCTGACATCTTTGCCAGACCCTGACTCTCGCTAATACTTCTCTTTCTAGCACTTTCTAATAACATTTATTCTGATGCCAATCACATATTGCTCCTATGGTGAAAGAAAGAAAAAGAAAAGAAAGACATTTTCAAATTGGACAGTCTCAAAAGCCATTCAAAATATATTTGTGTTGCAACTCTTCTCCCTAGAACATTTGGCTCAACTGTAAACTCCGATCAGAACTACATATGGGTAATTTCTTAACATATAGCTTCCTATCAGGAAGTGAGTCACTGAAGGTCACAACAAAATTGGCACAATGACTCCAGAAGTCTCCCAATTTAATTGCTAGGGACAGATGGAAACACAATAAAAATATGACTAATTCAGCAGTGAGTTTAGAAAGCTATGTGTATGATACACCGACCTGCACAATGAGGCACTGTTTAAATAGAAGGGAAAGAGGCTTTTATCAGGTCTTAATTAGAACAATTATTAAACACATACTTATTGAGCACCCACTTTTTAGCCTGCAGTAGGATTACCCTTCAGTAATGGCCCTGAACGAGGGCTTCAGAGGTAAATCAGCGTGGGTCTCATTCCCTCATGGGGAGTTTACTCTTTTGCTCTATTCCCTAATTCCTGCAAGGGCAGAATGATCCAGAAGTCAAGAACCGGTCACCTGGGTCAGCTTTAAACACAAGTTCTGTCCCATCAAAGGCATGATGTGATCCCTTACGCAACAAGGAGGGGGAAACGTAGACTCTAATGAGACCAGATAACACTGGGATTTTCACTTGTCGAGATGCTTGTTCTTGACATTGCTCTGACTCTCCCGGGTCATAGCCTTCAGTTCAGTCCCCATGTCCATGCCCTGGACATTCCCCCTCTTACCTTCTTCCTGCCTCTCTAGCCAATTCAGGTTTCATTTCTGCCAAGCTCTCCCCAACCCCATGCCCTGCCCCTGCCTCTGCCTTGTCTCTCATTCTTTCTTGAGTCTAGAAGGCACTAGACACATCCAGTAGCAGGAGAGGCTATAGTTACTACCTTCTTTTCTTTCTATCAGGCTGTGAGTCACCACAGGTCACAACCAAATTGGGAACAATGATTCCAAAAGGCTCCCAATTTCATTGCCAGGGACTGACTGCTGTGGACTTCACCTGAGAGAATGAATGAGTTTGAGGAGCAGACTGTGACTGCTTTGACATAAAACTCTGTGTGGAATAGCCATTGGAACTGCCTGGGACACGGCCTCTAACACTTGTTTTCTGGAATAGCCGCTCTTGGGAGAATTACTTTCTGCAGACAACAGATCTTTTTTTTTTTTTAAATATTTTATTGATTTTTTGCAGAGAGGAAGGGAGAGGGATAGAGAGTTAGAAACATTGATGAGAGAGAAACATCGATCAGCTGCCTCCTGCACACCCCCAACTGGGGATGTGCCCGCAACCAAGGTACATGCCCTTGATTGGAATTGAACCCGGGACCTTTCAGTCCACAGGCCGACGCTCTATCCACTGAGCCAAACCGGTCAGGGCAAGACAACAGATCTTGATAAGGGATCATAGCGGCTCCTGCCTGGTCCAGACAGCTCTGGACACATCTGAAAAGATGTCACCTCTCTGGAAATGTGGGCAAAGCTGCCATAACCTTGGGTGAAAACCTGTGTAAAGATGTTTAAAAAGGAAAAAAAAACATAGAGCCCCAATCACCCATCCTGAGAATTTTCTGAAAGGCACCCTGGCCCACAGGGGTCAGCCAGGGCTGAGGCCCTCTATTAATTTAGGGGTGCTGCCAATGTGAGGTAATGGCCAGGTGTCGTGGGGAGAGAGACAGCCCTGGCTCTTGTGTGCAGAGCGGCCAGCTTTCTGCTCATTTTATCTCAGACGATAATTTCCTGGTTCCCTTCCAGTCAAGTTCAAATTGTTTTTTGTGTGTTTTTTTTTAAGTTTTCTCACCCCTCATCCTCTTCTGTCCCCAGGAACAAGGTCAGCAGGACCCAAAAGCTTCTTTTCCATTGTGAGAGAATGTGAGCCTCCAGTACCACCCAATGTGAACCCCTCGGTGAGTTTCCAGGTGACTTGCTATTGTTCTCACAAGTTAAGAAGGCTAAAGTATTTTTAAACACAATAAGAAGGCTAATGTATTGTTAAACACAAACAGAAAACCCTCCTCGATAAACCCCTGATCTGTTACCTGGATTTCTTTTTTTCTTATCTTATCTTTCCCTCTTTTTTCTTTTTCATTTTTGTCTCTTTTCTAAAATTTATTTTTCACGTGTTTGTGTGATGCCAAGCATTTTGATGTTGGTCTGCGGGACTGCCCCTCAGGGTAGTCCACAGGATTTAAAGTGGAAGTTCATTAAAACATGAAAGCTGTTTGCAACTGTGTTATCAGTGCGGGCAAGGTAGATTAAAAGTACCCTTTGAAGTGTACTGGGCGTTCATCTATAAATCACAAGTGTCTCACAGTCCAGATACCCAACAGGTGTGTCTAATGTACAGTTTAGGATTAAACAAATAGCATTAGTGTTTTTATTTCAAATATGGGGAGGAGAACAGTGATGAAAAAGGAATCCCGTATGACACAAGGTGTGACAGGCCAAGCCTTGGCCATCCCTGCCCATCCCTCCATCCTAGGTCCTTCTCCACCAATCTGCTTGGTTTTGTAATTCTAGGAAGTGGGTGCAGAGTCCAGGCCCATGGCATCCCAGGATCATCCCTGATCCTTGCTTCTTGAAGATCCCCCCTCGGTGCTGAAGAGGTGTCATTTGCATCGTCAGGCTGTTGCTGTTGGTGGAACCATGGGGCCACTGAGTCATGTCTGCCCACAGCTGCTGGCGTTTGCATCCCTGGGCACTGAGGTCTGAAACGCGACCCTGGCGAGGACCAGCCCAACCCCTTTGGAGGAAATGGCTGAGCAGCCTAAGCAGCAGCAGATGAAAACTTCCTTCCTCTTCATCCAGCTGCAGGCCCCCCCTGGCAGAGCTCTCCCCGCCCCGTCTCCAGCAGCGACAGCCTGGACCGCAGCCCCAAGGGGCCCAGAGGAGGGACACATTCTCCCAAGTCCCAGGACCGGCTTCTTGGCAGGCCAGGACCTCAGGCGCACACGGGGCTTGGCTGCTCCTCCCTCGCGGCTGCTGCAGAAGGAGGGCCGTGGGACAGAGCCACCAGCTGCTTTCAGTTGCTCTGCTCGGAAGCAGGAGAAGGAGGGAGAGGAAAAACCCCAGGATCTGGATGTAAGGAGGGGTGGCCTTTGTGGATCCGCACATTGCAGGCGTTCCCTGGCCCCGGCCTCCAGGAAAGTTGGCCGGCTCCAGCCCCTGTCATGCAGACCTCCTAGCCCAGATGCCACCATGAACGATGGAAGCAGCAGTCCCTCCCTGGGCCGGAAGCCTTGGCCAGTCATTACTGCTCCCCAGGACCCGTGGGGCGCAGAGCCTCAGGCTTGGAATGCTTTGGGAAACTCAATTCCACAGGCCACCCTGGCCCACGCTGCTGGCAGGGGTGAGAGGGCCTGGCTGAGGAGAGGGACTGCCACCGGCCAGGTAGCCCCGAAGAGCTGTAACGAGGACACAGGTACCACGGTGCGGGCAAGGAGGGCAATGCTCTACAGATACCGTCCGCCCGTTCAGACCAGCAAGAGCTACCCGGCCCCACCTACCGCTCTGCCTCTCAAGGTAAGAAAGCGTGTGTGGCTGAATTCCCCAGGCCCCAGCTGTTCCCACAGGAAGGGAGAGTGAACAGGGAGGACAGAAGTGCCCACAGGCTCCCAGTTCCGCACCTCGGCTCTCCCTCCACTCCCGATGGGCTACATCCGTACTGCCGGCCACGGTCTTCCCGGGCCTGGCCCTCCCCCTGTGCGCTGACACCTTCCCAGACACTAGCAACATTTTGTTTGCAAACAGAATGAGTAACGATTTCCCAAGGTTTCTGCCAAAGATAGAAGAAAATCCAGGCAGAGCAGTGCATACTTTGTAAGGGAGACCAGACGGAAAGACAGAGGAGGTGCCCAGGCATTTACTGAGCCCTCTTACACCCCAGCCATGGTGCTAGGTGTTGTCTTTCATCCCATTTATCCTCATAACTACCCTGAAAAATAGAGGCTTACATCCCCAATTTCAGATAAGGAAACTGAGAAGTGGCTCCGCAAAAATCCTCCCCTCCTTCCAAACAGGCAAGGCCAGAAAGGTCACTGGAGAATTAGGGGAGGTTTTGTGGAGGTCTCCAGAACTCAGCCACATCCTTGCCCTTCTAAGGCGCACTTCCAGCTCCCAGCCCCCCCCCCCCCAACCCCCCCCATCCCCCCATGGATGTGTAGCCCTGGACATGAGCCTCCTACCTTCCGTTTTCCTCTGGAAGGGAAAGGGTAATGCTGTGTGGTCTCCAGGGTCTCTTCAGCTCTATGCGCTCTGCCTGTGAACACGGCCATGCCTACTCTTTGTTATCAGCATCTGATTCTCTGACTCAACCTCCTCATCATGCTGATGCCTGAGCCCAGCCTGCCTTCTCCACCCAACTCAGGTGTACCGCTCCCAAAATAGGTGGACACACACAAAAATGATGCTTTTATTTTCTCTTTCCCAGTAGCACAGACATCCTTCTATACGTTGCACATCTCTAGGAGATGAGGGTGAGGGTGAGGAAAAGTGTGTGTGGGTTGGGTTGAGTATGTGGAAGTCGGTGAGGAGGGGACTCTCAGGCAAGTCACAGGAGAAATGGAGGGAATTCACAACATCAGAGAAGGGGCCTTCCTGGAGCTTGGAAATGCTGTTGTTTCACCTGGATTCCGTGGCTCTCTCCTACTTGCTTCTACAAACCCCCCTTCTTCCTCTTTCTCCTTTAAACAGGGAGCCAGTACAGCCACAGATAAGAATCAGAGAGAAAGAATGAGCCCAAGTTTTCTTCAGAAAGGAATTCTTGGAAGAAGAGAGACGCTAGCATGGTCCCTTAAGAAATAGTTTACATTCCACCCCAGATCTTGTATCTCTCATTTCCTACAGAGATTGAGGAGGAATGGCATACCCATGCGTCAGAGACCGGTCCCTGTCTGTGAGGTCACATGGTAGTTGTTTGTGTACTTTAAAGCTGCTCTGATGACTTGAAAACAGCATCTTCCCCTACTTTCCCTTCCTGCCATCCAAGTAGAAGCCAGAGCTTCAGAGCTGTTGCCATTTCTAGAGGGAGAGGTGTTTTGGGAGTTGGTTCAAGTGGATAGATTTCTGTCTTGTCTGCAGAAGTCTAATAGGCCCCCAGCCATCTAAAATAAGGATTGTGCCCTAGCTGGTTTATCTCAATGAATAGAGCATTGGCCCTCGGACTGAAGGGTCTCAGGTTTGATTCTGGTCAAGGGCACATACCTCGGTTGGAGGCTTGATTTCTGGCCCTGGTTGGGGTGTGTTGGGGAGGCAACCAATCAATATGTCTCTCTCACATCAAAGTTTCTCTCTGTGTGTCTGTTCTCCTCCCTTCCACTCTCTCTAAAAATCAATGGAAAAATATCCTCGGGTAAGGGCTAACAATAAATAAATAAATAAATAAATAAATAAATAAATAATTGTGAGATTCCTCGCTAAAAACGTAGAAACCCCAGGTTCAAGTCTAACCTTGAGCAACCCACCGGAGCTCCCAGTTTTTCCATCTGGAAAACCTGCCTCACAGTTGCTATGGAGATTTGCTATGGAGATCAAGTGTTGAGCAATTGAAAGGAACCTTCAGCAGCCCTGTCTTAAGGGAGAGAAGAGGAGAATAAAAATCAGTGGGACACCATGGATTTGATAGATTAGTGTATGAGAATTACCCAGCCCACTCTCATGTTTTGGAATTTAGCTTTATGAGTCACAGGAAAGTGGCAGAAGGTTCATGAAAAATGCCTTTTTGTCACTATGAATATGGAGGCCCTTAACTACCCATCGCATGACCTTTCACTTGATATACTCAGGAAGAAATGTGATCAATTATATTTATTAAAGTGAAACGTTGGAAGCAAAATCTGTTCCTACATGTGTATCATAGTATTGACACTTTCCTAGCAGGAAAATCTGAATCTTAAGTGTAACTTCTCTTCTCCACAAATGCTCCAAATGGCCAAGTGTACATTCTCACTTTTGAGACAAATGGGCTCCTTAGTGAAAAGTTGTCGACTTACATCCTTCCAAATATCATAATGAGTGATTGCCGTGGATTAAATCACTTGGTTTTTAATTTATACTATGACCGGGCTCTGGTAAAAACAACTACGGCGCTCTATGACCGACACAAGGCGTCCAAACCTCAAAACTGCGAGGACGTACGTTATCATCCCCATTCCATGGATGAGGGGACAGATGCTTGAAGATGGTCAGCAACTTGCTGAGACCTGAGACCAACGCTTGGCAGCTCAAGACTGAGTTCTTCAGCCTCCTCTCACTGTCTTCTGAGAGGGTGAGATTTCCTTGGAAGTCAACCCACCATTTCCTGGGCCTGGTGGTCTCTACTGCACTCCGACTTTCTCTGGTGGAGAGGCTGCGAGAAGGACCCTCAGGAGTTTCAGGTCTAAGGACCTGGCCTTGTGCGAACAAGCACTAGAAGCAGTGAAAGCCTGGGGTTGGAGGATGCGGAGCTCCAGCTCTGGTGATGCCCCCTGCGGGTTGCAACATTTCTGTGGCGAGTCTGTGAACCGGAACATGTTCCATGGTCTGGGGCCAGAGCCTGCCCTCATGATTTCTTGGACCCCACATTCTGCCACCTCTCAGTGGGAATGCCAGGAACTGACAACGTGTGACAAGTTTGGGACTGAAGATAAGAAGCCCATATGAAGACACAGATGCAACTCGAATGGGAGGGAAAAGCTTTCTCGTCAATCATTTTGGGACGTTTACAACTTTTTCTTTACTAGTCTTCATCTCTTACATACTTTATGTTTTGAAATAATAACAACTTTTGGTATGTAAATGACATTAGAAAATGCAGTAAAAATATTTTTTAAATTCCCTTCCAAATGCCATTTTCACAAACCCCACAAAATTTTCACATGTAGCTTTAAATTCCCAGGAAATTTTACGTCTCTGTTTTTGTCTTCCTTTTTCTCTTTCTCTCTCACCTGAAACACAATGAATTTTTTGAGTTTTCATCACCAGCTTCTAGGAGTGTTCAGGGTTTAGAAGACAGAGTTAGAGTGAGTAAGACAGATAGGAGTCCATGAGAGGCTTGGTGTGTGAAGGAGACAGGGATGGGTACATTATTCCTTAAGGCAGCGATTTTCAACCTTTTCCATCTCATGGCACACATAAACTAATTACTAAAATTCTGCTGCACAGTAAAAAGTATATTTTTTGCCAATCTGACAAAAAAGTAGGTATAATTCTGATTCATCCACACTGGACAACTATTGTTGTATTGGCTGTTGTCATTTTTTTATTTGATAATCTAAGAGACAAGAGGTCAGTGTCCTTGAATAAATAGTCAGGTATTGCATGTTTTAAAAATTCTTTCGACACACCAATGTGCCTCTTGCGGCTCACCAGTGGAAAATCCCTGCTTTAAGGTAATGATTAGAAATGCAATGTAGGTCTGTTTGCTTAAAAACAAGCCCTAACAGACTAGAGAAAATTGTTTTAACTCTGTGTCTTGGACCATTTTTTTTTAATATATTTTTTATTGACTAAGATATTACATATGTGTCCTTGTCCCCACGTTACCCTCTACCCCCCACCCCCCCCACCCCCGCTCATGCCCTCACCCCCCCGTTGTCCATGTCCATTGGTTAGGCCTATATGCTTGCATATAAGTCCTTTGGTTGATCTTTCCCCCTTACCCCCACCCTCCCCTACCTTCCCTCCAAGTCCCGACAGTTCAATCAATGCCTCTCCGTCTCTGGATCAGTCCTTGTTCATCAGCTTATGTTGTTCATTATATTCCACAAATGAGTGAGATCCTGTGGTATTTATCCGCTCTCAAGTTCCATCCATGCTGTGGCAAATGGTAAGAGTTCCTTTTTCTTCTTCCTCTTCTTAAAGAATACCTTTCAGCATTTCATATAATGCTGGTTTGGTGGTGATGAACTCCTTTAGCTTTTTCTTATCCGTGAAGCTCTTTATCTGACCTTCTATTCTGAATGATAGCTTTGCTGGATAAAGTAATCTTGGTTGCAGGTTCTTGCTATTCATCACTTTGAATATTTCTTGCCACTCTCTTCTGGCCTGCATGGTTTCTGTTGAGAAATCAGCTGACAGTCGTATGGGTACTCCCTTGTAGGTAACTGACTGTCTTTCTCTTGCTGCTTTTAAGATTCTCTCTTTATCTTTTGCTCTTGGCATTTTAATTATGATGTGTCTTGGTGTGGTCCTCCTTGGATTCCTTTTGTTTGGGGTTCTCTGCGCTTCCTGGACTTGTAAGTCCATTTCTTTCACCAGGTAGGGGAAGTTTTCTGTCATTATTTCTTCAAAAAGGTTTTCAATATCTTGCCCTCTCTCTCCTTCTGGTACCCCTATAATTCTGATGTTGGTACGCTTGAAGTTGTCCCAGAGGTTCCTTACACTATCTTCATATTTTTGGAATCTCTTTTATTTTTTATTTTTCGGTTGGGTATTTTTTGTTTCTTTGTATTTCAAATCTTTGACTTGATTCTTGGGATCCTCTTTTCTGCTGCTGGATCTCTGTAAATTATTCTTTATTTCAGTCAGTGTATGCTTAATTTCTA